TTAGTAAATTTATATGATAGATTTGCTCAGGCTTTCTCCTATTGGGTTGTCTCACTTTAAAATTAACTTCCCCAACTTGTTCAATAACCTCATAGGGGCCATGACAAGATGCTAGAAATGTATTTTCTACTGTAGGGACCAAAACAAGTACCCTGTTTCCTGGGTGAAAAACTCTCAAACTGGCATTTCTATTATAACTGTTTTTCTGGGCCTCTTGGGCTTTCTACATATGTTCTTTAACTTTTGGCATGACAGCCGCTATCCTATCTTGCATTTGAGCTATGTGCTCAATTACACTACAGTACGGATTTGATTTGTGTTCCCAGGTTTCTTTTGCTATATCTAGCAGACCTCTGGGATGATGGGCATATAGAAGTTCAAAAGGAGAGAAGCCAGTAGAAGCTTGTGGCACCTCCCTTATGGAGAACATTAGATAGGGTAGTAAGCAGTCCAAATTCTTACCATCCTTGTCTTCACAGACGTGTTACATAGGGGTACTGCTTCCAGGTACTTAGTAGCATAATCCAAAACCACCAATATATACTGATGCCCCCTTGCAGACTTTACCAGAGGACCTACCAGGTCCATTGCAATCCTCTCAAAAGGTATTTCTATTATAGGCAATGGTACCAGAGGACTGCGGTATGCCTTAAAAGGGCCTGTGTGTTGGCATTCAGGACAAGAAGAACAATAATTTGCAACTGAAGCAAATACCCCAGGCCAATAAAACCTCTGTAAGACTCTTTATTTTGTCTTTTCTATGCCTAAATGTCCCCCCATTATATGTCTGTGTGCAAGGTTTAGGACTGTATGTCTGAAGGGCTTAGGCACAGTTAGTTGCTTTACAACATCCATCCCCTTTTTCTCCATTCTATGAATCAAATAATTCTGTACCTCAAAGTAAGGATATGAAGGGGCTCTATCAAGTTGTACTGGATCATCATTAGAAACCTGGATATTTTTACGGGCCTCTGCAAGAGTGGGGTCTTCTCATTGTGCTTTCCTGAAGTTAACAGGACTGACTTCTAATTCAGGCAAGTTAATGCCTTGATCCTGATCATTATCGGACTCCTGACTATCGTGGCCTGGGTCATCTCCTACTAAAGCTGGCATATGATGTGAGGCTTCAGCCTTCTCTGTTCTTATGCCTAGTCCTTCCCATTCTATGTCATAAAAAGGAAACACATTTCCAGAATCATCATCATCATTTGCTATACAATCATGAGCTACCTTTTCTGGAGACCCCCACAAGTCTAAAAATTGGGGGAAATCCCTTCCCAACACCACATCATAAGCCAATTTATCAACCACCCCCGCTCTATGATTCACAATTCCAAAAAAGGCTTTCAAATTTCAGAAAAACTGTAGGATATTCACGTTTGTCACCATGAACACAAATAATACATATTTTCTGAAATGCTTCAACATCGGCTTCAGATACAAGGCATTTTGTTATCAATGTAGCCATACTTCCGGATTCTAATAGAGCTCTAACCTCTTTCCCATTCACCTTTATAGAACATATTTGTGGATTGTGACTACATTTGGCAACAGCAGATTCCATATAATTCAGCAGACAAGACAATTGTACATCCTGATTAATCATATTGCATTGCATAGGTTCATCAATCAAGGGACAGTCTCTAGCTTTATGTCCAAGATCATTACACCAGAAACATTTAATATTGTAACATTTAATATTATAATCTATCCCCCACCTAGACCCTTTTCCAGGATTAACATTTCTAGGCATTAGCGTATGGGGTCTCTGAGAATATGTCTCTTGTTCCTCTGTCTCTCTGAAACCTTGAAAAATCTTACCAGGTCTTTCAGCAGCTGGAGTCTTAACTCTCTTCATAGACTTTGTGTTGTTAAGCCACTGTCCGCAGCAACATATCTTTCCACCAAACAAATTAACTCATCGGCTGATTGTGGATCACTCTGGCTGACCCATCGACACAGTGAAGCAGGTAAGCCTCACAGGAATCTGTCCATCACAAGAAGTTCCATGATGTGGCTTGCCATATTTATTTCAGGTTGTAGCCACTTTCTAGCAAGATGCATCAGGTCAAACATCTGGGAGCGGATAGATTTCTCTTGGTTGAAAGTCCAGGCATGAAATCTTTGGGCATGAAATGCCATAGTCACATGAAGTCTTGCAAGAATCTCAGCCTTCAGTTTGGAGCCTGCCTGCGCTCGTTCCAGGTCATAGAAAGTCTTCTAGGGTTCTCCGATCAGAAAAGGTGCCAATATGCTTGCCCACTCACTCACTGGCCACTCTTCTCTCTCAGCGGTCCTCTCAAAAGCTAGAAGGTATGCTTCCACATCATCTGTAGGTGTCATCTTCTGCAGGTAACGGCTGGCTCTGATCATCTTAACTTCGGACTGCGTCCCATCGTAAACTCTGGTCAGTCCCTTGGTCAAAGTGTAACAAAAAAGAAAACACACCACTAATAATACATATGCAAGCAAACCTACTAAAAAAGTGTGCCCTCTTAAACACCAATACAATAGTGAAAAATAGAAAAGTAGGAATGCCAAAAGGGTGAAGTAATCACTTCTAAGGTATAAATGAAAATATACAACCTTATATAATAACAGCGTGATTAACAATATCTGTAAAAATATATAAATCGCATATAGAGTAATAAGAGTGTGAATGTATGGACACGCAGGATGTATATATTGAACTCACAAAATATAAGTACATTTCAGGCCCATCATCCTTAATCAGAAGTAGTCTTCAGAGTAATATGTAGAAAATCTTCTCTAGTGCTTGTAAAATAAAGAAAACCAAAAGATAGTGCAGATGGCATTAAAACTTCAAAGAATTTATTACAAATTGCACTTACAAAGGTCGAAGTACAAACAGCATATAATTGTAAAAAACTAGATGAATGGATGTTAATGTAGACTCTTTCTTAATTTCTTCTTGTCTTCAGTTGATTGATATATATACGTCTTTTGTATATATATTCTTGGGCCAAATGCTCGCCACAATAATATATGTCTATATTATTGAAAAGTAGTAATACGCAATCTGACTTACGGTTTCTTCAGGTTTATTCTTAGTTACGGATACATAAAACATAATATAGGATGTTACAGGATAATGGACATTTAACAGCAGATGGTAATTGCTGTACTTCTGATGGGAGAGTTACATCGTTGTACAGAGCCAAGCCAAGAGTGACTGAGAGACCTCGTGTCCCTCTGTTACTATATAGAAGTGCTAATACTAACGTCAGCATATAACTCTAGCCATATAAGGACAAGACCCCCACATCCACATTCCAGAGCTCTCGGACAAAGAAAGCCTTGTGACTTATTGATACCATCTGTTACTTATGTCAATCCACACATCCATATATATAATCAATAGAAACATAGAATATGCAATATTCTACATTCCCTCTGTTTATGGTTTGTTTTAAAACCATAACACAATGTCACTAACCTGTCCATTCATACATCACTTGTATCACATTCATTGAGCATAGAACAAGATGAAGTCACAACTTTCTATTATATGAGAGTTCTTAGAAGGTCGAGTTTCTATCCCTCATACTGCTTACTTTACTTCAAACTCCCTCTGTTTCAGCTATGTATTGATATCCATATCCATGTTACATCATAACTACTTGAACATAATATGTACATATATATAACAATAATAAATGAATAAAATATTTACAAATGTTGATCCAATAAACAATAAAGCAATCAGAAAGATCTACCTGCTCTGGTACAGTCATATCTTTGTAGATAACAAAATCAAGATGATAACTTTCTAAATAATAACTGTGTATCACTATCATACTCCTACAGACACACATAGCATAGTATTTTCATTCTCAATACCTGATATTATTTAAGTACTAATACCTGTATTACTATAATATCCTGTCCAATTAGATTTCCATGAATCATATGGTTTCTAGCAACCTTAAAATCTTTAGGTCATTTTTATTCATGAATTACATTCCTATACCATTAATACCACCTAGTGATGATTGTATCAGTACTTTACAATCATAGTATTTAATTTGTATATTCAGTAGGCTCTCACTACCTGAAATATATCAACACTACTTATAAGACTCATTCAAAGGATGTGTTATCAACCATGAAGTTCTATAATAATTCTTCAATCTAGAAATCTTTCTATCATAGATTTGTTTTAGTTTACATAATTATAATTTTCACTAAAATTCCACCTTGTAGTAACAAACTTTAAATTCAATAGAAACATAGTTTACTTTAAAAGAACTTGGAAAGAATAATATAAATTCATTAGCATCACTCTCTTCATTAGCATTGTGATGACTTATTAATGTAATACATCTCAACATAAAAGCAGGATTGTCCTAATGTTACCCTAACATTTATTCTGACCAATCCGTATTCCTTAGTACACTTCAACTGACTAAAGTAAAATAAAATAAAATAAACTTGGGGTCATACTGCCCAGAAACTCTTATTCCTAGTCTGTGTCTAACAAACTCAGGGAAATCATAAAACAACTTAACAATGTATTCATTGGATACCATCATATCCAGAAACCTATTCTCCCTAGTCCATACCTTTATAGACTTAGGTCAAATATAATTGTGTACTATACTCTTTCCATTCAATTCAATTCCTCTTGGATCTCTGAACTCTTATATCCAAGGCATTCTTAATGTATATAATTACTTAATATAAATCAATATAAAGTATCCTTCCTTAGTTTTCTTCCTTTTGTTACCATTGTTTGTTTTACTTCACCTCGATTATAAACAAATTACTCATTATAGTTAATCTATGAAATACTATTGAACTCAATCTTTGTGATATTAAGTAACCATGATCCTTATTTTATCGACTTCATATTTTATCTACCTCTGATACTTCTCATTCTATGTATAGGTAATAATGTAATAGTTCTCTTCATAATACCATCCATTAATAATTTTACTCCATGTGTTATATTTATAAGTACTCTCTCTTGGTATTAATACTCATAACTGTTAAATAACTTTTCATTGTCTGTTTTCTTCATTAATATTTAGGAATATATATGTATGTTAGTGTCAATCTTTTATTTCTTTGTAAGTCTGTTAATCTTCTGTATCGAATGAACTCTGTAGAATCTTCCATCACAGTTTGCAGATTAGATGAAAAGTCTCTTTCCAACAGTCGATGTCCAGTTGTCTGAAGGAATACTTTCCTGATTTATTGCCACAAGGATCTGTCACGCTTTACCTACATTAAAACAAATAACATGTGCAGCATCAATACAATGGCTTACAATGTTTATATCTCATTATTATTACACAGTTTAACATTGAATCATATTGACTACACAAAACATACTCATATCTTCTCATGAGATCTACCATCTAGTGGTCATTACATTTATGCCATGTGATGTATAATCTTTAAATTTCCTTATATTAAAATCTTTCTGAACATGTAAATTCTCAATTCTCAAACTTTTTATTACTCATACCCCCCTTTTAAACTGTTTAATAATTTGGAGGTATAACCTAATCACATGTCAGATGTTACAACTAAATATTGTTTTCCACTATACGTTAGCAATAGCAGCCATCTTGTCTTAACACTGGCATCATTTTGTCACATGAAACAAACTACAAAAAACATATATTGTTTCCTACATCAAATGTATTTGTAAATCTAGGTTTAATCCTATCAAAACTTTTGTCTTCTATGTAGTCAAAACATATGTATGTCCAGGCTTTGCAAAATACAGTAATCCATTATCAGTCATGACATTAAAATCTCATTCTCATGAATTAAATCAAAGATTTTAAATCAACCTCAGGAGTAACAAGGAATATATCCATTGTTTTTTCTTCTGTAAAATGATTGGAGTTACTGTATAATTGCATACACCCAATATAACATTGCATGTTCCTAACTGCTACATTAGTGTATTTAATTCTGCCATATTTGCAAACTTGATGTAAATTTTTATTTTAATTAATTACCTAATACTTTCTTATAACACACATAAAACAATGAAAAAACAGTTCAGACTAACAATTCATTAAAACAACAAACTAACATAGATCTCTATTCTTGGCTGTTCTTAATTCTGGAATCAGCCTGTGCACATCTGTTGGCACACATATCCATGCTTATTCCCTAAACTGATCATATCTCTTGAAGTTATCTGATTCTTATAACTTTCTGTGTTACACTGCATTGCTTGTCTGTCTCCTAATTTTGATTTAGCTAAAATTGCTTTTATTTGTCTGATTATAAGTTTACAAGGAAAGGCTTTAATTGATTTATCTTCACATGTATTTTCTCTGTCAAAATTTTCAATCAACAAATTTAATTTCTCATTTGCTTTTGATTTGATATCTCGGATAAAATATCTGCAAGATCTTAAATAATGTTGTTTATTGCACCAAAAACAAATAACTTTAGGAGTTATATTCTGCCCTATATTATCAACTCTACAGTTTTTAGTTGAATAAAATGGGAGGGGCTCAGCTGTCTGTATCACTCTACACTCTGTCCTAGAAGAAGAAGGAGGGGGACGAGGGCTGTAACATCTGCACTTCTTTCTCTGCCTAATTCCACAAGTCATTTTAACCCCTTCATTATTGGTTTCCCTCCTTAAGTTATCCAAGAACAAAGCAACTTCATTCAAAGTCCTTTTTTCTCTAGCAATTACAATTGCAGTTGGATCTAGATCTTGAAATTTTTTCACAAATTCATTAATTAACTGATTCTCAGAAAAATTAGCAACAAGTCTATATGCACTTTCAAATTTTACAAGAAAACTAAATATATCCTCCCCTTTGTGTGGTTTTAGTTTTTCCAACATTTCAGTGTCTGCAAAATCATTCCCTGTTGTTAATTTTATTAATTGTGTTAATCTGTCTCGCTCATTTCCATGGACTATTTCATCATTGTCCTGAAATCTTACAAGCGTGGTCAGCCTACATGCCATTTGAGTCGGCAGCCATATTTGAAATAATCTATTCCTTTGTTCGTCATTTAGGCTGTATTTGTCTAAATTAGACTCAAACATTTCAGCATTAGTAAATGCATCCACTGACGTGTCATAAACTGGAATACATTTCACAATTTTCATTAATTGTTCATGTATTTTCAAATTAAGTTTTGCAGCTCTGTCTTGAAATTTACATTTCTGCAAATCACTCTGTGAGGATACATTTTCAGTATCTGTTAGTTCTGGGATTAGATTCTGTGCTTGTATTTTTCTTGTATTAACACACACTAGTTTAACTTCATTTCCAAGCTGGCAAATAAGATCATTTCTTAATTCAACTCTATCCTCTAATTCACAGACTTTTTCTGACAATGTTCTCTCTGTTACATTGTTACACTGTTCATTTAAATCTGATTTGTCTTCTGTTAACCCATTCAAATCTACTTCTTTTTCTGCTGATTCTAAATTGTCTTTACCTGTATTTCGTTTACAAATCAATGCATTGTAAGTACAGACTAGTTTCATAACATTTCTGATCTTTTGTTTTTTCTTATTAACAAACAATTTCTTGTCAATTTCACTATTGGCAATTTCACATTGTGTGTATAAAGATTGCCACAATACAGCATCTGAATAGCTGCTATTAAATGCAAACTGCAATTTACTTTTCTCTGCAATATCATTTATGAATTCCATGTTACTCACCAGATCAGTTATTTCTGTCTATTTCGTTGCTTCATCCACACAGCTGCGCAGTTCTTTGCTTGGACGCTTGCCAATGTCTGCCACGTGCTTGCTTCTAGAATTCACGTTGTATCTTGTGCTTTTTGTCTCAGTTGTAGAAAATAGTCTTGTACAGTCTTTGATTTGAAAACTTTCTTTTTCTTACAAACACAGTCTAGATTCTTTTTTTTCTCTTCAAGTTTGTTTTCCCAGTTCCAAAATAGCTTTGTAACTCGATTCTTCTCTCTCCCCCCTTGAAGTGGGAACAAAACTTGAATAGAAGACTGGCTGGCTAGCCAATGTAAAAAACTAGATGAATGGATGTTAATGTAGACTCTTTCTTAATTTCTTCTTGTCTTCAGTTGATTGATATATATACGTCTTTTGTATATATATTCTTGGGCCAAATGCTCGCCACAATAATATATGTCTATATTATTGAAAAGTAGTAATACGCAATCTGACTTACGGTTTCTTCAGGTTTATTCTTAGTTACGGATACATAAAACATAATATAGGATGTTACAGGATAATGGACATTTAACAGCAGATGGTAATTGCTGTACTTCTGATGGGAGAGTTACATCGTTGTACAGAGCCAAGCCAAGAGTGAGACCGACCTTGTGTCCCTCTGTTACTATCTAGATGTGCTAATACTAACGTCAGCATATAGCTCTAGCCATATAAGGACAAGACCCCCCACATCCACATTCCAGAGCTCTCGGACAAAGAAAGCCTTGTGACTTATTGATACCATCTGTTACTTATGTCAATCCACACATCCATATATATAATCAATAGAAACATAGAATATGCAATATTCTACATAATCCACTGCAGGGTGGAGATAAAAGTACAGCAAGTAAATCCCCAATGTAGTAATCCAACGTGTTTCGTGCACTGGACTTCCTCAGGGATTGTAATCCTCTTCTTCCAAATCTTCGTTTAAATATGCCGCCAAAAACATCCAATAAAAACATCCAATGAAAATCACCTGTGGAGTAAGTCCATTGCGTGCGTGTCATGCTGGAACGCACCAAAAACATCCGGCATCATTTCTGGTTCCGGTTTAGCAAAAGAATATATCATGCGTTTTTACGCTGGAACGCAACAGACAGTCCAATAAATAACAACATGCATAGAAATGTCCTATCTAGAAAGGGCACAGATAAATAAATAATGGGTATATAGAAATAGAAGCTCTTAAGGGGCAAACAGCTAAAAAATCGAGCGTTACTTCCAGTTCCGGAATAACGGCCGAATGTACTATGTGTTCCACGTTGGAACGCAATAGCAAAAAAATACATAAAAATGAAAATAAAAAATATAAATAATAAATAAAGAGAATCTAATAATGAAAAATAACACCCATGAAATATATATATATATATATATATATATGGCACAATCAAAATAGGACACCTCTTCTACAAATGTAACACATATGAATGATATACAATATTATAAAAAATATAAGATGTATTTAACATGGCAAAGCATACATACATAAAATCTATGTCATAAAAGTAATAATCAATAATTTGGACAATCTAGTGGTACTCCAAAAATTCTGAAACTTAAAAAACAAGTATTAAACATAATCATAATACCA